TGGATAGTGCTTCGGCGTGCACCGACCAAACTGAAAAGAGACATTTATTTCTGTATGCTAGCCACTAGTCTATAAGCTTGTTTACCTCATTGCTCTTGACTGTCAACTGTAATGCCTTATGCAACTATGGGCCTGTACTGGTTGATGTGAGATATGCCACACCTCATTTACTCTCATTAAAGGCACAGTCCACGATAAGTTCGAGGTAAATTTGAAAAACGGGATAGCGCGTCCGTGCAGAGTAGCGCATCGATGGCAAAAAAGCGGAAATTCCGCAGAATATGCAAGGGTTCCTGAACTAGTTGATGTAGAAGATTAAACGGGGTTATGGCGGCGGGGGTGGTATGGAAGGAGTTGGGAATTTGATCGAGATTCCAGTCGTGAGCAAATGCGTGAAGGGTTGACTACAGTATGTGGAAAACGCCAGAAATAGATTCCTGCCACGCCTATCGCCATGGGTAAGGGCTGCGGATGTTTTTGTGCTGATACAATCTTTACATTGCTATTCTCTGCTGTTGTTCTAATATCGTTATTCTGTTGCTGTTACTGTTGTTATTTTCCTGTTCAATAGCTGTTTGGCTGTTGAACACATGAGCTCCAATGTGAATGTTGCAGCCTAGGCGTCAAAATAGACCACTTCTGAGAGTCGTACACAATGAAGACTAGTTTACAACTCTTATTACGCCTTACTCAAGCCGTTTTCGATCAGGCAACGATCCGTTAGACATCCTTGGAGGGCAGAAATTTGCTTACACGGGTGATCTCAGAATCCCATTTTTATCTGAACCTTGCTTTCGAGGTTCAACTACGTGTAGCTAGCACCTTCACTTCGCAGGACGCTAAATAAATAACGCACAAAGATATATCACTCTGCTTGAACTGACAGAATAAGCCGAGCCGAGCGGTTTGTGGACTGAACTACTTACGAAGAAGTAAGAGTTCGATCTGCGAGTGGTGCGCCATGTCTTGATTCGCGACCATGATGAAGTAGAGTGTGACCAGCAAAAAAAACAGCATTTATTCCGAACTTAGCCCTAACTTTTTTCAACTGGAGGCTGAATCAGTCCATGTTCTACAAGCAGATAAATTTTTTAAGGCCATGCCAGCCATGATTGTTCAACCCAGGCTTCCAAACAAAGATACGCTGATCGTCTTCAAAAAGAAGAAACGCTTGCCTCATGGTCGTAGGATTCGACCATTTCTTTGACTCATAGAGTTTGTGGATGTCCTACCATGTCAATATGAATGTAATAATTCATTTTCAACAGATTGTAATAAATTTATTTATCAAATTATTTATGACGATATCGTTAAAGGACTTTATGTGATTGACGAACACAAACAAGATGCGTAGACACTTCGTGAGGGTTGACATGACGACGGCGAGAAAGAGTGAATGAGACAGAGAGATGGAAAAGGACCCAAATGAAGGACAGCTCGAAAAATAAAGCAGAAAAGCCGAGAGTTTGCGAACGAGCAGCGCAAACCAGATGGAACGAAATGCGATCTGACTGGAATGGAAAGCTGCTGTGCTTGTAGCGAGAATGCAAGCATGAACGCATCAAAGACTGAGTTCAGCGAGTGAGAGGAAGATCTTAGAAGCTGTAAGTAAGGAAATGAAAAGGGCTATAGAAAAACTACTGACTACTGTCAAAATAATTCGAACGGAACGATAAGCAAAAAATAATAATAATGAAGCATGAGCAGGTGATAGGCACGGGAATCACAGCGGATTTCGACTTCTCTACTGATCGGTACACAGTTAAGCGGAAGAGTATGGACCAAATGCCACTCTTCTTGATTCAGAGATGTTGTTCGGAAATGTGTCGAAAAGTCAGAATGTACAAACATAAAAATTAAAGAATTCCATTAGTTCTTCGACCTTTCACTCTAAACCGAACGACGACCCTGTGAACTCTTTAACAACCCTTTTCTCTTAGTTATGCGATATATGTCTACAGCAAAAACTCATATACATGAAAAAAGATGGAGGCACATGAGCCTATGAACCATTCATTACATATTGCCCATATACCGTCGAAGCGATGCCTCCATCTTCTGACGATGAGCGATTCGAGTAACGCCTAACTGCGTAAAAGCTGTACGATCGCAATTCATAAGCGCCCTACCGTCTACTCGACGTGCTTGGAATGCGGACATATACTCGTCGAGCCCTGAAATAAAGAATTACAGCTTTTGTTGTTAGTACTGGGATGATGATGAGTTCGTTAGGAACGCGAAGTTACTAGGATCTTTCGAAGGACTTTGTGGTTAGAAATAACTAGTGAATGTCAGTATAAAATAGGCTATCTAATTCAAGGGAAGTAGAAAACAAATAAATTTCGCAGGAAATCCTCTGAGAGTTCTCTCTAAGGATTACTCTTGCAGGGGCTAACTCCCAGGGCAGGCAAGACCTGAGAAAACCAAACAAGAAGCTATATGAGGTAATGGTCAATTTGATGGCATACATATATTATTTCAAAGAATATGTCGACCCAAACCTAGGAGACAGACGTGCCTTGATAGGGAGATATAAAAATGGTCAACAAAATGAAACTGCTCTGCAATACATTATCAAAATTGAATGGTTTTTGATCCCCGATCCACTCAATCTGAGCAGATAAGTCCTCTCCGCCTACCCACTTCCCCTGTCAGCCAAATTAGTCGGACGTGCTTCTCCCTTCTAATGCGGTCTGTGTAGAAATTGTGAGGTCATTGATGGAACTTTCGTATTTATTTCTACTCGGTTTGTGGTTAACTGCCAATCCGATACCAGTGAACCCACAATTATTGTTTACAAATGCTAATATCCGAAAAAACTCAGAAGGTTGTTTGGGTCATTCATTTCAGTTGGTCAAAGGAAATCCTCATGGCAACACATTTGAGCTCACTCTGATATTTTCAGCTGTACTTACATATTTGAGGATACACGCTCGTTTAGATTAGTAGATTGATATTTCGGCTTCTAAGGACCACTCACCCAATGAAATAAGCCACTGAATGGCATCAGCACATGTCCATTTCAGTAGTATTTTCCTTTCAAATGACCCACCTTCCGCATCTGGAAGCGGAAAATGAAAAGGTGCGAATAGATCTTGAAGGAGAGCAATCTATCAGTGAGTTTCTAGCGAATGAGAAGTGGCCAAGAAACCAAGTTCAAATGACAAGGAAAGGAGAGCACAGAAACCAGCAAAGGGAAAGGCACAATCACAGAAAGCATTCTAATCTATCCTTACTTTGCATGTCACTATCAGAACCACCGGTACCAGAATCTGGATCGTCGTAGTCGACCGGAGGTACCACTGGTATCAGCGTAGTGGGACGGGACTCGGAAGAACAGCCCGACAGCGTACTCAGTGTAGATGACACTGACATCTAAATAACCAGCACACATGCAAACCCAGAGCAACCGAAACGGAAAGAGGGAGACCGAGGGACAGTAGCGCCATCTGACAGGAGAAACGATAGCGACGATCACAGGAGGTAGGAAGAGGAAGCGGTAAGCACGTACGTTATCAATGTTCTTCCGAGCACCGTAATTGTCCTCAATGTTCTGACTGATGATGGTCACGTTGTGCCGCGAGGTGGAAGTATCGACGGTAAAGTGTGGTCGATGGGCATTCACTTCGGTGCGCTCCTCGCCGTATTCTGACGGCTCCAAAGAGGTTCTCGAAGATGTATACCTAAACTGACACTGTTAGAAGCTGACGGGAGCACTCCAATCACAACTGAACACAGAGAGTTCGAAATATCGCTTCAACAAACCCGCTGTCTTTTTTGTTCGCTATTCCTGGCGGCGAATGTTGCTTGACGTCTTTCGTCGGAACGTTTTCTCTCACTGTCTCTCGAAGAGACAAGCCGCCAAACCGACTAAGGGAAAAGGAAGGTTAGGAAGGGATTCATCCCGGACTCTCTCATAACCTTAGCATGCACTCACCCATCAACATCGCTTTTTTCTTCTTCGTCCTGCTCAAGAGCTACCTTGCTCCTCCGCTTTGCCAGGGCATTCCTCAAGTCAGCTTGGAAATCAGCTGATCCATTCGTCGATAAGCCAACCTGTATCGAGGGCTTCTTCTCCTCCGGCTGAAACATGAAGGGAATCAAAAAACGATCCATTCCCTTCCGGAAACCATATAGCTCCAATTCAGGAATCGTAACGGAGCAAAAAGCTTAACTAATACAAGTTCGATAATTTTTCTATAACTAACCTCCGCTTTCTTTAAAGATACCGAGCGGAGGGCTTCCACTGATATGCCAGCCTTTGTAACCCCTGTGGATGAAGTGGATGAAGTGGATGAAGTTTGAATCTTCAACAGATTCGGAGGTGGAGGTGGCGGAGGAGGAGGTACAATGTTTGAGCTCGTACCTAAAAAGGTGTATAAATAAATCCCAAGTTACGACGCATCAAAAGGTATCTATTACTCGAAGGAGGAGAACTCTGTGGAAGCGGGGGCGGAGACGGCGTATGATCAGAATCATGAGTGGGAGGAAGTACAATGTGCATAGTGGTTGACCCATTGGGACTGTTCTGCTTTGCATAACTGCTGCTATACGGTGACGATGGCAATCTAAACAATCTACAATTAATAATTTCTCTGCTGGATATTTCTTTCACAAACTAACCGTTGTGGACTTGAATTTTGTGGTATGGACGATTGAGGAGGGGGAGGTGGAGGTGGTGGAGGTGGTGTTTTTGGTCGAAAAGCGGGACGGTACGGTCTGGAATAGTCGCTTCCTGACTGGAAGTAACCAGCACTTTGGGAATTCCCATACCCAAGTCGATCATCGCTTTGAGACGTTGTTGAAGAAGTTTCGTCTTCGGCGAGCTCAAACGAGTTCATATGAGGGATGTCTGGGGAACTCGAATACGTCTTCATCGGAGAACCATAGATGGAGTTCATCGGTTGATTATTCTAAACAGCTTTTGTAAACAGCGTAGTAAATGAATAAATACTGTACAGAGACGGATCTGGTCACTGTATTAGGACGCTACGTTCTTTCGACTGACTCCCACTGAAGTGTCCCTTATATGGGCTAGCCCAACACTGACTTGTTGCCTCAATTTTCAGCACTAAGCTGATAAGCTATGCCCAAATCCAAAAACTGGACCTTCTTAAGTACCTTCGAAACCCACTCTTATCCATGACAATGATGACCTTCAACAAACCTGATAATCATATGATCGTTGAAGACCTTGAGGCGACGGTGCCGTTCGCTGTTTTCTTCTCTTCATATCCGAAACGGAATTGTATTTCTTCGGGGTCTGCGATGAAATGGATTCCTGAAATAGGTTTTACTCGGATCGATCTTCCAAGAGTTACTCTTGCGAGGAATTTCTGTAATAACAGAGATTCTTTATTTATTTACCTGGTCATAAGGTATAGGTTGGTAAGTGTGACGCTCCCCTTGCCGTATCATTAGACTTTCCAGTTCAGCTGCCGAGATTCGTCGACCTCCTCCGTGCCTTTGTTTTACTGATGCGCAATGGGTTTCTGCGTAATTGGAGCGCAGTTGTGCGGGGGAGTAGTACTCTTCGTTCCCTCCTGAAGATTGAATGATAGGTTTTTCAAAATGCTGTATATGGTAAGCTCGTGCCAACAGCATGCGAAACATGCCACAGGAGGGATTGCGCAGTGAACAAAGCTTCGAAAGGAAAATATAAAAGGTTCGAAAAGGTATGGTAGCTTGGGCATACACTTTCAGAAATGGCATGAATCTGACGATTTCAATAATACATGCCAGCAGCTATGCCTTGTATGCCTTACCTTTGTCGAAGATTGTTTTCATTTATGTTAATATTCGGGGATAACTGGGTGCAGTTAGAAGGCAGTATAGAAAAAGGTTAGGATAGATTACCGGTAAATCCATAGAGACTTTGACTTCCTCGAAGTGATAGCGAAGTAGACGGATGCCTCACAGGAGGCGGTGGTGGAGGAGCCATATACGAGCCGCTGCCAACTGTAAGCAGCGAACTCGTCATTACGGTCCGTCCTGTGATCAGTTCTGTTTTGAAGGTTTCTAGTACTATTACAGCTTTCGCAATATTCAATTCCACTACAAGCTTTCAAACTACTGAAAGGGAAGTGCAGCCATTGAAAATCGTCCACACTAAAAGGGAAGGCGGTCGGAGATACCGCAAGGTTTGCAGCAGAACTATTCTGAATCTATAGAGAGGACACTACACTCAGTACGTGAAGCCTGACAGAATCTGCCAAGCATGAGTAGCAGGGATGAGTGGCATCCGTTGTGCGAAACACCGAAAATGGTCAGGTTACCACTGTTTCATATCTGCACGCTTCGCCACCATCCCCACCATTTTGAAACGATCACCCACCCCACACTGGAACGAAAAACGAAGGGGATCACTCAGAACTCAAATTGCATACCAGGAAAAAATACCAACTGATTATAGGGATATCTAAAAAAGTAGAAAGAAGAGTTTCCAGAACAAACACGAGAAGGCATGAAGCACACATTCCCTTTGGATTGCTCTTGCAATCCCAAACACAAATATTGATCGGCTAGCCGGTCAAGACATTTGTGCGTAGTGGAAGTCAGCATTCTCAAAGCTCCCATTGGGAAAGGGCTGATCTGCGTTTGTCAACAGTGTTCGAAGGTGCCCTTTATTCTGTTGTAACTCTGTTCCTCTCCAAATTGGAAGCTTCGAGATATGAGTCTCCACTGACATACACAGCAGCCTTTTCCGTAGGAAAGTATTCTTTCTACAGATGCTTACCTGATCGAGGTCTGGACACCGTTGCAGTAGCAGCCATAGACAGCGAAGACGGGTCTACAGTGATCACCTGAATACGAAGTGATGTTTTGGATTGTGGTTGTCAAGTCAACACTTCGAAAATATACCTTGAGGGTTATGGTAACACCGGCTTGTTGAATCAGATGTACTACTTGCTCGTGACTCGCACACCTCACATCAATGCCATCAATCTCCAACAGATAATCACCTGAAGCCATAGGGTATCTTCACTGACATGGAAGTTGAGTTTCATCTAGGTAGCGGCACATGTCGCGGTTGTTAAGCCACGATTGCACGCGCCGTCTCATGGTCTACCCCAACAGTAGACCAAGTAACGGTTTCGCGCTCAAAGCGCGGGAAGCGCGGATATATATGACGGCAATACTCCGCTTAGGGCATCATTTGACAACGCGCCTCTCCCCGGTAATCTCCACATCACTTATCGATCGGAACCCCTCCGGAAGTGATCATTCTTTTCATATTCTTCTCTCGCGCTACCTCTTTTTATCTCAATAATGGAAGTCCTTAAGATCATCCCAATAACTGGTATTGCTTACGTCATACTAACTGTAGCAGCCTCTTATGTAATCTTTGTTTGAAGTGTTTTTTGCACTATTTTCTAACTTTTGGAATTAAATCATTCCAATGGCCTCAGTTTTCTTGCATCCTCATAACCGTATAAGTCTTTTGCACCATTTTACGTATTGATTGTTTCACTGTTCTTCGTAATTGCTGATAACAAGTTTAATTACCCAAGTTTGAGAGTGCGCCAATAAAGACGTCTCGCGATTAATGTTAACGCGTGGCAGGATATTTCGTGACTACGACGATAGCACATGTACTAACCTGGTCTCAATCCTGCCCTCATGGCCATTCCGGACATGTCCACTCCTTCGAAGAACTGGAGAGCAGGTGATAACGGCGAAGGCTCGAAATCCATTGGAGACGCCACATCTGCAACATTTCTCCCAATTCACGCAACCTTTACCTCTGAGTCCGACACGAGAACTCACGTTTCGCCCCTCTGAGAATGAAACCAAATCCTTTAGGTCCCCTAGGAATCACGAGGATGCGAGGCACGTTCGCTTCATGTCCCGGAGCCATAGCAGGCGTAAATCGACGCATCGTGCCGTATTCTGACGGAGTGACGGTGGAGCGACTTATGCGTGACGGTGTCGGTGAGGGCGCAGGCTGTAAGCCGTTAAACTGAGCTTACATGAGTCTTTCACAGAAGCGAAATGACCAACCTGAGGCGGTTTGCTCCTCTGTGACTGTGGAGTACCGTAGATGTCTTGACTGTAAATCGATGATTGGCTGAGTGATCGACGTTTGGATAGACTGGAGGTAAGACGTCTCCGGGTCGAATATTGCGGGGTCCCACGATAGGGCACTGAAAATTGAGCTGATTATTGTTTACAAGAACTAGTACCGCATGAAATGCTTCAAACGGAGTTTAATTGAATCAATGAAAGAATCCTACTTTTCAGTATTTGAACACGGATCATATTAGATGAGTAGAAAGGAAAACGTTAGGCTTTTGTCAGAAGCGCTGCACTTTCAAGAAGAATTGAATAACAGTGCCTAATTGGCTAGGTTAAGGTGAACTGGAAGGTGCTGTACATGCTACGTCTTGCTTGCGAGACCTGAGGTACTCAAGTAGTAGACCTAAACGAGTAATAGCCAGTGATTGGAGTCTTCAGAAGGCCCTCGAAACCCGTTGAGTAACTACTTTTTTGGTCTACTACAAAGTGTCGGCTGAACTCGCCTAAATTTTTCTCACCAAATGTAAAAAAGAAAATGTCCAGTTATTAGGGAAGGTAACAAGCACTTTGAACTTGACTGGGTGTTTATCTGAGAACAACATATCTTCTCTCTCTAGAAAAAATTTCTCCGTCAAAACCGGGTTACAAAGGAAGTTGAGGCAACACGAGGAGTTACCCAGGTTAACACCAAATGGAAGAGGACGTAATCAGGGTCTCTTCCTCAGCCGCAGCGCTTTTCCACGTAAGCACCGCCTCTGAGGTATCGACGTGGAATTAAATGGTAGCGAGCAAACAGCAACGACAAAAGAAACGATCAAAATAACATATTTTAGCACCCATTTCCTTGTGCCCATCCCAATCCTCTCACTCGAAAGCCTATTACTCGGAGGAATCTAGTTCATGTGGAATAATGGAAGTTACCGTGCATAACAGTTTAAAAATGGCGAAGAAAGAAAGAAAGTTAGCGGATTCGAAAGAAGTAAGGCTTCAAAAATTAGTATGAAAGGGAGTGGTACGGGATCACGCGTCTGTAACAGTCTGGGTGTCTCCCATATGAGCGTACTATTCGTCGGCATCCTGATGATTCACTGTGAATGGTGTAGCTCTAACTAGGCCCTCATAACACGGCCGCTCTGATAATGTATGTACATCGATCAAACCGATGTGAGACCCTTAAACGCCCTGTCAAGGTGGCTTTTTGACCCGACAATGTTCCATTTGCTATCCTTTCAGGCCACAGGCTTTTCCTCGGGATAACTCCCGAAAACCATTTTTATCGCCAACTGTGCCTTTGAAACGGGCTGTAAAAACGAGAGCTTCATTCGGAGAATCCTCAGAAGTAGGGCATAGGAATGGGAGTTCGGAGGTTCAGTTTAGCCATTTTTGTACCAACTGTTTAGTTGAGCTCCACATTTATTTCGGAACACCATTGACCCCCTAGTTGTGATCGCGGAATGTGCCTATGCTGGTCTACGATTTATCCTCTTTGAGCTCTTCGGGGCTGTTACAGGGGATATGGTGCGTTACAAATAAAAATGTTCTTCAATTGTATGAAGAGAAAGAAAGTGAAAAGAATGACGTACCGCTAGCAGACGGATTATGTGAAGCAATGACTTCGGCTACAGCCGTCGTACCGACAATGTGGGCGACGTGCAAAGCTGTCTGCCCTTGCTTGTTCACAGCCAGATGATTTGCGCCACGAAATAGAAGAACTCGTGCGCAATCAGGCCTGAAAGTGATGTGGTGAAAGTCAATGAGACATTGGAATGTCGAAAATGTCTCCTAAACGTAGCAGCAGATGCGAATTTGTCTGTTCATCAAATTTCAGGGAAAGTAGCAGTGGAACACTCAAACAAATAGGCCTCGAAACAAGGTACGAACAGCGTAAGCGAGTAGCAAAAGCTCTTGAAGACGGACTTCCCCCACAGGGGATCATACCGGGTGCGAGGTATGCAGTAGCTAAAAAGGGAATTCAAGCGCGAGGAACTCCTCCTATAACGATTCTGGGTCACTTTCCTAAAGAGGTCTTGGGATTTTTTTTCTATCTAAAGGGCTCGAGCGAAGGTCGACTTTGAATACAGATCGAAGTCGGTTGTAAAAGCTTAAGAAAGCAAAGAAATCCAAGCAAACAGTACCGATTGTTGACAGAGCAGACGTGTAGGGGAGTGTTGCCGTTCACATTTTCCGCATCAACGACAGCGCCATAAAAGAGAAGATGCTCAATGTGTTTAGCCAAACCGTTTTTGCAAGCCTAAAAAAGTCTTTATTAATTAATTTATCGTTTGTAAAAATAAATCCTTACTCGGAAGGGAAATCAGTTGAAAAGCAAAGCGCACATATTTTGGATGGGAGAACGTGAGCAATTGAAGTGAACTAGTTGGCAGGATGTATGGGGAAAGCTGGGTAGCTGCTGCTATGGAGGAATTCCGGACCGTACGTGGACCAATTATGTGCTTCTCATGTGTCATACGCAAATGCTTGTCGCGCGTTTTTCGGAGGCAATTTGAGCTGATCAATGGGACTGTTGAAGGCCACTTAGCCACCCAGGAAAGTGACATACGTCGTCTGTAAATGGCGCGGACAAACACTGTATTTAGGAGGGCAAAAGACGAAAACAGAGAACAGCTTCCTATCCGATCTCAACGAGCATCGATAGTGAGCTCTGACTTTCCATCGGTCTTTTAAGGGCAGTTGACATTCTTTCAGACCGATCCTGTAATCGGGAAAAGTGACGTCAATATACCAAGAGAACGGACCCCGGTTCCGAGTGGGACAAACGTTGAAGAAGAAGCATAAGTTGAGGAAAACATTCCGGTCCTTTCATTTGAAAAACTAATTCGTCAGAGAAATACCAGAAGGTACTTTGAAGGAGCGGCCTCCTTCCAAGTGTGGACCTACTCACCACTAAAAACAATCTTGACAGAAGTTTGAAAAGCGAAAATTCGTACAGTTTGTTCGGGCTTGCTATGCTGACGAGTCACCGCGCAAAGTAGTCTGCAAATGAGAAAGCATATGGGCGAGCTCATTATTTTGAGAGAGCAGTAATACAAGGTCCGGAAGAAATTAAAACGTTTGATTGAAAAGTTTCTAGAGCGACACTGCAAAAAAAAAGCGAAAGGAGCTGGTTTAGAAGGGGATATTCGGGTTGGACTGAGTTCGCTTGTACCTTGCCTATCGTAGGACGATCAGTAGTTCTAATGTAAAAGTAGTGAACCAAGAAGTAGAAAACAAGGAAAACAGTTCTGATAAAAAAGCTCATGGCTAATGGAATTCTGCAGGAATCGCAAATAAGCTAGACAGCACTCCTAGCGCTCTTAAAATTATTGGGCATCGACTAGTGCAGGGGAGGGAACGGTCCAGGGTCATGAGATTCAGTTAGGTTCACCTAACCATCATTGAACCTTAGCAACCTTTTCAGAGTCACAGTTGACGATATTTGGGAGGTTATGGGTCACATCAACCCCTTAAATTTCAAAAATGGGTGTCCTTTGTGAATGGTGTGGCCTCTAGAACGCCGTTAAGACTTGTCCGCCTTTGAGTGTGGCATACAGCCGATGCTATTTTTGAGCCCCTTCAACGTCCTATCTAAGCCGTTTGCGGATTTACAGCGCCCCATATGGTATTGGGGGAGCCACACATCTCAGAGGGATATTCAGAAACCATTTCTATCGTGTACCGTACCTTCAAATAGTCATTGTATTTTGGGATGACAAGTGCACAGCACTACTTCGTAATCTAACACGCTCCTGTTGTGATTACCCAGGGCTTCAGCGATGTTTTTCTTTATGTGCCTTATAGCAGGCAATAATTGCGGTTGAAGGATTCTCATAAAAGGGCGATAGCTTTCAATCGTCATCAAATGACTCAACTGGTTTCTTGCATTGGTTTGGATAAAAAAACAACAAGTGGCAAGGAAGGGGAATGATTTGTTCCTCCAATTCATCGCAACAACTCATCGAATTATGACATCTGGAGAATTGAAGCGAATCATGTCAAAGTGCAATGCAAGGGTATGGACAAAGTTTCTAGCGTCAATCAATCCCGTCTGAGGGATGCTTCCATGCATTCGACGTCCACTTAGAATCGTACTGGCGCAATGAATGCGTAGGTGGCCTATATAATGACTTACGGTAGCCAGCTGATGTACAATTCAACGCTTCCTTCCAGACTATCTCCTGGAGTCTAAGAGGGATGGAAGGCTCGGTCGGCTTGAGGGTATAATGATCCTAGATTTGGTCCCAGGAACATGTATGTTTTATAGTGGGCCACTTGGCGCTACACCTTATCTGCTCTACCTTACCCATATCGGGGATTATAATAGTTTGAGAGAAGTTCATGGTACTGAAGCCGGTTTTGAAGTGTACAGAACCGGAAATCCCTTGAGGTAAGAAGGCTGCCACTTTGAGGAACAAATGTATCATGGGACCTGTTTTGTAATTCAGTAGAGGTTCCCAAGTTACAGTTCCCAAAGACTATGACTTTAATCAATCTGAGAGATGCGCCCCCTCACGCGACTTTTGTTCAGAATTGTAATGGCGTAGTGAGTGCGTATGTGGCCTATACAACGACTTGCGGTGGCTAGCCGATGTACAATGTACATGGCCTAAGCGGACATCGATCCGGGATTCGAACCTCTGACCGTGCGTGTGTGTAGTGCGCCACTTGCCACTACACCACCTCCGCCCTTCTGATACATTCGCTTGATACGTGTCAAATACATGACCACCCCTCGATGGAACGCCAGAGAGAGTAATTGTCTAAAAAAAGCTAAAAAATAATTTGGAATTGGTGAAGTGCTCAGTGGCGCACACTATCATCCTAATGGTTGCGGTATCGGTAGAAGGGTATCAAGTCCCAGATCAGCACTCGCTCAGGCCAACCACGTCCCAAACCATCCTGGGATCATGTATTGGAAACAGACTTGCCTGGGGGAGGGGGAGGGGGACAAAAGCATTGATTTGTATGTCGACTTCATTTTATAGCTCACATTCACATAGAAACGTCACTACGACTCGGAATGAAATAAGAGGCGGCTTCCACAGACGGGATTGATCGAACCCGGACGATTCCTCACCCTTCACCCGATTGACTTGAAGATATCGAATAATAAAATTTTGTGGTTGAGAAGGTGAGGAGACCTGACGTTCCTCATCTAGTAAAACGCAATCGCATTCGACCTATATTCAGAAGTTGAGTGAAATGACTGTTCACAGGATCTATGACAGAACGTGGTTTGGTGCGAAGTGGAACGAACTATCACCTGAAATCCCAGAGATCGATACCCGTTCAAGCCTACCAAGTTTCACAAACCTCCTGGGCTAATTTGTCTGGGAGAATGAGANCGGACGATTCCTCACCCTTCACTCGATTGAAAACTTGGAGATATCGAATAATAAAATTTTGTGATCGGGAATGTGATGAGACCTGACAATCCTCATCTAGTAAAACGCAATCGCATTCGACCTATATTCAGAAGTTGAGTGAATTGACTGCTTATAGAATCTATGACAGAACGTGGTTTGGTGCTAAGTGAAACGAACTATCACCTAAAATCCCAGATCGATACCCGTTCAAGCCTACCAAGTCCACAAACCTCCTGGGCTATTTCGTCTTGGAGAATGAAAACAGTGGTCCTTGTGTCGACCCGCTCATTGTATGGGCCATATAGGAATTCTGAGCGCCCCTAAGGCTCTGAAAAGTAGTCGATCGCGAAGATCCACCCCCAAACGGATTTACTGACACCAAAAAAAGTTCATGTGAAATCATTCCATGATGCACAAATCAGCTCTTGATCTTCCCACTCAGAAGAGTATGGTACCGAATAAATGTCCTCAGATGGAAGGATTGGATGGCCTAAGGGGCACCGATCCAAAATCCAATCCACTAAAATCCATCTGCCACCACATCACCTCGCCCAGTCTGATGAATTGATGAACAGAATCTCCTATTGATCACCTTATGCAAGTGAACTAAACAAGACCCACAGTGATAGCATGCTTCGAGCCGATCAGCCCCTACGCCCCTTTAAAATAAACAATATTCTGTCAATTACTGTACCGTCGACACTGATTCCTAATCGTAACACCTCAACTGATCTCTATGATGAGCCAAGAAGGCGAAAGTGATGCAGGTAATGGACCCAAATCGGATCTCGTCCAGATTAGCCCTCTGAGGTGAGTATTCAATGGGACACTTAATTGGATGGATAGGAACACTAACTTGTAAATAACTCAACCTCGCAAGCTATACGTGTTTTCCGCAGAATCCATGAAATCACTCGAGGGTTTTAAATCAGAGTCCACTGCATCATAAAGAAATAGTACCTTTACCAGTACATCGAAAGAAGTTAGCTATTGGGCGTATGTGCGTTTGAGAAGAAATCATTTGAAGCTCTGAAGCGTTGAGTGAACTCGTGATTTACAGAGAAATCATCAAGTAGTCCGAGGAAAAAGTAGAAAAGAGAATAATCCGTAATGGCATGAACCGAGGCGTATGACCAGGCTGCATGCGGGTGGTGACGCCCACTAATGGAGGAGTGCCCTCTTGAAGACGCGGATCTCGACACGGCGCCAGCGACGGCGGAGGTTCAGGCGGAACGCACGAGGAAATGAAGGAAGCTTTGGTGTTCGGGGAGCCGATCATTAAGTTCAGCCTCTATCCTGGGTGGGGAGGAGGAGTTTCATTCCTCAATTACTCCAGCGAAAATTCCAGTACGGGACAGCTTTGTCAAGTGAATTGCCTTACTTTTAATTAGCTTCCACTCGATACCTACCTGGTGTATCTCATGATTTCCATGCATATCCGTCACGCCCAGATCCGAGGCCTCCTTCAGCAACATCTCAGCCACCTGAAGAATGATACTTATTCGGTTCAGAGAGCAAACAAGTAAGAACGTACCTGATCATTTGAATCCGTGGTAAGCATGTTGTAGTAGAGGGGTGTGAGTCCGATGGGGTCGCGGTAGTTGGGTGATGCCCCCAACTCCAAAAGTGCTTTAACGTTTTCACAGGATGACAGGAACGCTGCCTTGTGCATTGCTGTCTGAAATAGAGGGCAATGTCGTAGTCTGGAAATCGTCCCAAAATACTCACAATGGGTGCTCGCCCATCGCGCCCTCTGTACCACGTTTTTCAGCGGCACGGCAGCCCATTCGTGTCAAGTAGTCTTTTTTACGCAATTGCTAGTCAGTTAGTCGAATTTGTTGTCCTCATTTCACGACCGTTATCAGAAAGACTCACCGTAACCTCTAACTAGGAGGGATGGTGAGAGAGGAGGGGCCTTCCCAGAGGGAAAATTTTCAACGTAGGAATGAATAGTTGCCAACAAAACACGGCATGGCGCAGAAGGGGTAATTAGTTCCCGTTGTACTACTCGTTTCCAAGGCCAACGCCAATGTACGCTCCACTGGGTACAACTGTAATATTATTCATCTTCAAAAAGACCTCAATAGACGTACTTGACCCTCAGAATTGCGAAAATCGATGTGTGCGCCACCTCCCACGAGAGCGACGAGCACTGCTCGATTCGACGGTACTCCGGCCGCTAACGTCAATGGAGTCTCACCCTGGAAAGCATTGGTGGCTTGACCGGTTACCGCTCGAACCCAGTGTTCGAGCTACGTACCTGTGCATCGTGGAAGTTCGCATCGAGTCCCTGCGCGCAAAGCTTTTCCACTTTCTCTGCGTTTTTCGACTGCACATAGTCCATAAACTTCTTGAGCGTTGCCTGAAAGGATCTGGTAGCCTCAGTACAAGGCATGACGGATGGTTCCTCATGAATCTTATACGTAATTCCCTTGAAAGCCTGATCAGCTCAACACTGCAGAGAACATCGGCCAAACGTGCGATAATGGTTTTTTGGCTTGGAACGGAATGGTCACTCAGATACCTGTTCATGTCATCCCCCCTTGACCGGCTACCCACTGCTTTTTCTTGCAAAGTGGCCCTTCTATGCTGTGCCAAAATCACCTTTAGGTTTCCCCCAGCCATTAGAAGGTTTCCCAGAACAAGAATCGCACACTGGAAGGACCATTTAGCACTTCCCAGGCTTTTCTGACTTCACCCAAAAAATCAGTTTACTTATCGGAAATTACTAGATCCTGATCTGGCAGCTGATCTTTTAAGGTTTGATTGTTGAGAACCCATCAGGAATTGAGGAGATGCAGCTCACCTTACTATGCATGCTCTTCAAATGCTTCTCGTCGAGGTTCAGCATTTTGTAGACCCGTTTTTTGTACTTGAGCTGAAAATAGGCACAAAATACAGTAAGAATACGTCGATTAGTGGGAATTTGACCCAAATGACTGTGAGTGCGGCGAAGTCTCAATTTCCTACGGAAGGCTGCTCTTCCATTTTGAGAAAAAAAGGAACACCTTGGAAAAAGCAATTCGGCCCTGCTTGAGGCTATATCAAGTTTCGTAGGCGCGGCGCGGTCGATACTGTCCATCCTAAGGCATTTGGGGCAGCTTGTTTGCTCGCACAGAAAAGACATACAAACAGCACATTAGGCGAGAGACGAACGCAGGCGACCACGATTGACAGTTCGTTATGCGAGGAGAAGGCAAATCGCAAAGGCTGAGAAGGTGAAAAGGAAGAACAATAGCGGACGACAGGTGACGTGATGAGAGAAGAGCTTCAATCGAACCAAAACCTTTGCATACCTCTAAGTAAGGAACGCAGTCATGGAAGGGATAGTCGCGGACGACACGGTCTTCAAGAAGGAATTTGCCGGCTCGACCATCGCATGGTGGCAGAAAAAGCCCGTAGTTGAAGGCCTGCGGGAGTGCCTGCAAATAAGGGGTTAGGTACGACATGGACTGTCACCTTGTCTCGCTCAAAGAACGCTGGATCTGCAACATCATTTGTGATGCCCTTTATTTTGAGAAATATTTTATGATCATTTCAAAACTTTTTAAATAATTTACATAAATGCTCACTAACATGTGACAAGGAACTCAAACAATATTCTTACTTTCTACGGCCTATTCCGGCCGTAGAAAGTAATTTTGGAATGAGCTGATGGATATGCCATAAAAAGTACCACAAACTTTACATAAAAATGCTCAGAAACAAAAGAAAATGGATCCAAAAAAGTTTCAAAATCAGAGTTTCCCAATGATCATTCTGTATGGTTTGTTGGGAACTGGAAAATATCGTTTGCTGCACATCTTCTAGGAAAAAATGTGAGCTTCAAATATATGTAATTTTCACTTGAATGCTCAAATATATGCAATTTTCACTTAAATGCAATTTCGGTTTTTTTCTCTTCTATGAGGGTAAGCTGAAACGGTGAGGTTAAGCTCAATGAGGGTAAAACCTAAAAATCGGGTTCTTTTCCTAGAACGACGCATTGTCATGAAAGTTACCTACCTACACAATAGCTTTCAGAAGAACTGTACGAAGCACCGAAGGCAAACTCATTTTGGGTTTTTCAGTGCGATAAGCAGAACACTGGGCAAGGTAAACAAACGTTGTTTTTCCATAAGAAATCGTAATAAGCTATTCTAAATTTAGTAAACACCTCGTAGTCGGCTAGCATTAGAAGTTTATGCGCCCAGTTACGAGCAGGGTTCATGATGGGTGAAGGATGGGTCCATGTTCGAGTTTTGAGCTCTACAACACTATTTCCTTCTAAACAAACTAAATTCATTAGCTCCGCTCTTGCTCCTTAAAGCGATTTCGACGGGATGTCGTCGGAACGGTCCCACTGGAACTATCACTCAACGACAGGCATATGGAACTTTTGTTCTTCTTGAGAACGTTCACTCCGGACCACTGAAACCAAGTAGAAAGCGCTTTGGAACCTCCCTGCTCCACCACAAGAAGTGCTTGCAAACCCAGTGACCTGTTATGAGATAAGGAGCTGCTTATAGAACCGCAACTCTTGTTAGCCACTATTTCAACATGCTAGTCTACCCTAATGTGATGTGGGTCTGGGGCACAGCATACGATCAAAGTTTTGCTCAGATCAGAGCCACGGAAGGTAATGGCATCCGTTCGACCGATGGAGACAGTACTAGTACTAATTGAGAGTTCGGGGTGAAGAAAATGCCAGAAACACTTCGGTAGGGGAGAGTCATGGTCCCTGAAAATAGAAGGGAATCCACCGTAACCCTATGACTTTCCCCAAACAGTATTAACACATCAGTTTTGCTTCGATGCCCATGTTTGCTCTTCCATGAAAAGCTTCCTCACGTGATTTTTCTGATGAATCATTCAATTCAAAGTCAGAATAAAAACGTTGCAAATCGATTTGAATCCCTCTATAGCTAACTGGGTCCTTCTTGGATATCAAAGATCAGCTGGGTTCATGAACCACCCTTCTATTCTACCCTAAATCAAATCGAAGTCACCCTTATGCTAACCGAGCCACTTTATGGCAGAACTGGAGACTATGCCGCAAAAGGTCTGTTCATATTTTTTCTAGGGACGCCTGAGGCAGTAACGGTACGAGATCATAAGAGATATTTTTCACATTATCGAGAATAAGTATTATTTGTGGATAACCTGAGGGATCAGCACTATGTTAACAATAATAACTAACTCGACTAATTGGTAGAATTATTCCAAAATAGGAAGAAAAAAAGTACAAACCTGAGGTAAAGTGGCAAGCAATTTTCGTTTCACATCCCACACGAAGTCGTCGAGGCTGACGGTCAGACATTTCTGTAAAGGAATCTTTACCGCAAACAGATTATCATGCACGATTATTATGGTCTGTACACAGAAGGTGCACGGTCCTCTTCGCCAACGGACCAGAGCCATGAGGTAAAACCCACCAAGTTCGAATCGGGGTGCACAATGCGGTTCTGAGAGTGGAATAATGAGTTCGTTTCGGACCCTTCAGGGTAAGCACCTACAGGGTATTGGGAATGAATCAAGCAGGAAGCGACCTTCTAATTTTTTTACTACTTAATCAGCACCAGCCCTGATTTTCATGCGTGAAGGTTAGAACCTTTTATGAAATATAAAGGGTAAAGTCTCTTCGGCATTAATGAATCCCATCTGGGGTGTGCTCCCGCGTTCCACTTCCATTTTAGTCGTAATGGCATTTTGAATGGTCACGAAGACAATATAATACGAAGAGCTGCGGCGGTCTATTGTGGTTTAAGTCAGTGATTTTATCCTCAGAGACGTGTCTGGTACCACCTACCTGGACTCGGAAGAATAGAAGGTTGGGTTGGCCAGGGGTAATGCCGATTCGGGACCCAATTTCAGGGCTATGTAAGTGACAATGCGCCACCTGGCACTACACCACCTCCGTCTTACTTTTATGTATCTTAAATTGGTGCTAAACATTTTTCAAAGTACATACCCGAACTTGAATCTCAGGCACGTAGATCTGTATGTTGATCGTCTCTTCGTCTCCATCCATGTCCATTCAGGACGCAGGAAGCATCACAGATTAAGCTCTGTGCAGATGAAAGTGAGCGAGATGAACGGCAGCTCTGAACACGACGACTCTGAACGATATCCAGATCGATAACGAGTACCCTAACGGTTCTTATGCGATCGGATGAGCAAAACATGAACGTGAACGAAAGCGAACTCGAACTGTCTCCACCGAACGGAAATGACCAGATTCCAATCTCAAGCAAACAAAGAAGCTGCCGTGCGTACGCTAAATAAATGAGCGGTGAAATTCTAATGGAGAGCCGCTTCATTTATTCTCTTCACAGCAATAAAATTATGTAAATGAGGGTCATTGGCAGGACTGGTTCGAGGGAGAAAGATTCTCGCAGAGAATATGTGGCGGAACTCTGAGACTGAATGCTACATCCACCCGTGGCTGAAGTAACAAGACTGTTTGGACAAATCTGAGAAATGGGAACCTTCTTGTAAACTTTTTCACGTTGACCGGATTCCTTTGAATGCTGAAATAAAGAACATCTTGATGGCGTAATGAAGATATGGTCGAAAATATCGGACAAATACCAAATCTGAACTGAATTTTAGGTCGAGCCGAACTATCCGACTCTAAGATGGATGCTAATCAAAATGAAGAAAAAAATTTAAAAAATTTTAAATTGATTCTGGAAAAGTGAAGGAAGGAAGAAAGAGCCTGGTCGATTAGGATGCTCATCCAAGTACATGCGCTAGCGGCGGCTGTTTTTGGTACACCACCTCTGCGCTAATTCTGGTCCGCCATATGACCAAGTAGCGGAATAAGTGCTTGAAAATCTAATAAACGACATTGCTATTTCATATATTGACGACATTGGGAACAGGAAAACGTCAATGTGCCCTCAGCTAGTGTCGATAGAAGTTGTAAGCAAGTTATAACAGCTGATAGGAACTGGTTCACAGATGGGAATCACGTCCAAGGAGGAACTGAAATGGAGGCGATAAGGTCATGTCGACAGGAAAGGCGGAACGATGAGGGAAGGGTAAATGTTGAAAGCACGCAGCATGACAGTTTTGGCTGGCAACGGGGGAAGTGTCGACGACGAATATTGAATTGAAGTTCACTTGTTGTGTGTGTGTGTGAGTGTAGCAAGCGCAAGTCACTTCTCCCCCCACCTCGTCCCTCCGCCGTCAACGCCATCGGGTCCGGTTCTCCGCGCTGATGTTCAAGCCCAACCCGAACCGCGCACGATGATGAAGCTGCGCCGGCTAACTGCTCTTCGTAGAACTTCGTGCCAGTTTCTCCCGAACACATTCCAGAACACGACCCGTTACCGCAGAACGACGATTCATCGAATTGAACGAATTAAAAGTGGATTTGCGATGAAGCAAGTTCGTTACGGAAAGCCGTGGACGGTCCAGTCTACGATATATCAATCGATTAGAGATGTGAAGACGACATACGAAAAGTTCTGAGAGCGGTAAACCGTAAGAGGAGGAATTGAGGAACTTGTAGCGAGGCTGGAAATTGCCTCTCATTTGGTATCTCAACAGAACCAGATTCCCCTCATTGCTACAACATATTAGCGAAAGAAATCTGTGGAGGTTTCGAAGACCTCGAATCAGAGGATCAGAGAGGCTTCCGATAAGAAGCTATCCGAGATTATGACGATGGACGGGACGTTATCTAGCAACCGACGATCCTACACGTGAGCACAACCTCTAATGCAGTCCTTGGCCAGCTTTGACTAAATTACATTGATTTCAATGAATTCCTTGAAGCCATAGCTACTACAACTTCGCAAAATAGAAATTGAAGACGCTGACAGAGTGCGCCGTGCATTCGACTCCAACTTAGGTTTGTGAGACATTTTGCCTCATGCAACATCGACCATTTTTCGCCACAGAGACGGCCCCGAAAAAAAAAGCGGTTTCCTCGGTTTCCTGAGGAACCTGCACTTTTGGCACGAATGTCTAAGGCACCTTGGACGTGCTGATGTGATAGGTCGATTCCCAGAACTGGACATAAGCATACGCTTCCAAATTAGGCGATTTCTCGAAAAAAAGTAATGAGAGCAGATCGATATTTGATCGGAGTTGTCGGTGAATCAAAATTGAATGCGCCAAGTAGCTGCAGCGAGCATGTTAACCTTGATCATTATCTCCTCGCGGTTTAGTGAATACAAAGAAATCGGCGCGGTCAAGGCACTTCGACAGGAGGACGCCCTTAGCCACCTCCGTCACCTCATTCGTCAAGCCACGAAGGACTCTTACGACACCACTCTACTGCTCCCCACGACAACTCCATCACTAAAAACTCCTTTCTCAGGAACCGTTCTCTAGTAGCTGCCAACAAAATGATCTTACAACAAGATAACGTATTGCACCAACGACCTGATTCGTCGTAGTGTAAGATCGTAGAGGGTTCTTATCGCGAACATTTAGTACCGCAACATTTGTGCGAACATAGAACAATGTCTACTCGACGATACAATTTAGTTGTTTTGGATCTCAAGAAGACGGAAGAGGGGACAATAGAAAGCTGTCGATAATGCAGCAATGATCGAAGAAATTAATGGGCAAAAAGCGAAGCTGGATCACCCAGAAATCGCCCCCTTTCGGGCGAATTTTTTTGACAAGCCGACAAGGTTTATCGCCAGCGCCCTAAAATGAAAACGCCAAGAAAAAAGCTTCGTTTCCTGTTCCGAAAGGTGTTCTCTGAGAATGAATAATAATTAGAGACCAGAAGAACGACTCACTTTGCTGGGTAAACATGCTTTTAAGAGGCATTAGTGAAATGGGGGAAGAACTCTCATTAGGGCCGTCGACGAAACTTATCGTTCTTCTTTGATGGGCAACGAAAATCATATGCCGAGACATTTCGAGGCGATGACGACCCCATGAGGAAATCGCTGGTCAGGTCATCGAAAGGAATCTGTGATATCTTCTTGGAAAAAGGAATTGAAAGAATAAACAGATAATAAGCCCTCAAATGGACCAGATAGAATAGTGTTGTCTGCGATTTGTGTGTCATAAGTGAACATAGCGAGCAAGGAAGAGAGGCCGGTGAAGCGGCGGCTGAAGCGCGAGCGGTTGTTGAGTCCGCCGTAGGCAAACATCTCGTATAATTTATCCAACCGGTCATTCACCTCCGAAAACATGGAAAAATTGTCAAAGTGGAGCCAGTGGGCAGTCACAAGCGGCGACGCGACGGTGACGGCTGGCGAGAAGGACTCCACCAGGGAGGCAGTGGAGATTTGGAATAGGTTCTGGCGCTGAGGGTTACGTAGCAAATGGATTATTGAAGGCGTCGAGACGTAAATGAGGTCAACCCGAGAGCAATCAGCATGGATGTGTTAATGTGGTTAGGAGCCGAGCGAGTGGATTCCGTTGAAAAGTACATCGTGAGGGACCACTTAGAGAGGCGAATTATGTAGGAGGCACTTGGGTAAACTTAACCTACCGCTGAACTTCAGCTACCAGAGTATGGTGTAATTTTCAAGTCCATGTGCTATTCGATGAAAAACAATTTGCATATACCACCTGGACACCGAGCCTCCGACAAGAAATTCTACCAGTTCTGCGAAGGCGAGAGTATGTGAAGAGAAATTATTTTATACCCGAATGCCTACTTTTTACGGTAGTCTTATGGAAATAGAAATCATGGCTTATCAATAAAATGAGACGTTTTTTCCACCTACAACCTCAACCTAGCCCTTTCCTCAACGAACAAAATGGGATTCTGGGCTTCCTATTGAATTATAAGTTGGGTAAACCAGTTTCAGAAGGAGCTCTTTTGAGGACTGGGATCACTATAGGTTGTAAGGTATTGACTGTCCGGGTTTCCAAAGGGTATTGAATCGTTGTCACGGGAAAATAATGTAGACTAAGGTCATACAGGGCTCGCAATGGAAAAGCCACCCGCATTCATGCTAGGAATGATTCACGGTAAATGATACGCTCCAACTACTCCACTGAATAACAGTCTGAGAAAGAAGGCTATCCCCACAGGAATTCCGATGCTACCACTAGTAACCTACAAACGTATCCCCGAATCCGATGAAGTTTTCTCAGAGGTCAACCTTATCAGCGTCTTTTGCCCGGTTTAGAGCTGAAGTGACTCCGATTACGAATGAATAGGTCGTTAGATAAACAACAACAACGCCCCGTCAGTATTCCGTTCTAACATAAATAGAAAGAACAACCTCTTGAATGCATATGATTAGAGATTCTTCAACTGACAAAAGCGTTTCAGAGGTGAAAGATAGTCTGAGAAGCAGTAATGGAAGGAAGTCGAAAGGGTTTGCAGCAAGCTGGAAAAGTTCCAAACACTGAAGTTAAACCTGATTAGGGAAGTTCTAGGTTAGTGGGAGGGGGGAGGGCGATTTCACTGGTAATGTGACAGTTAGTAGATTCTAAATGTAGCTACTACTCCCGAACTTTTTTCTCACACTGGCAACGGCCCACATGAAATATTTCATTTTTTCATAGTTTTATGATCTCTCTGATTCCTGTCCACAATTTTTTCTAGTCCATCAAGCTCTGCCAATCTTCATTCCATCATTTCATATCGCTCCGACTCATGCCATTCTGATTATCATTTCTTAAAACCATAGCCTCATGATCTGAAGACGTTTCATTCTCCTATTTTTCCGTGGTCAAATCAAGAGTCTGTAGAAATTCCAAGATGGGATTTTAGACTACCAGGACTATGATGGCTTATAGAAGCTCCCGTTACTCCCGTTTTAAACCATGAATTCTGAGATCACTCAAAGTACGGGTGGGTCCCCTTATGTTCTCATTACTTGCCAAATCTGATCTCCATGGAAACATTAAGAATCGAAAAGTTGGATTGAACTGAGCGGGAAGCGATTCCCAGACTATGCAGTTGAGTTAACGGTACCTCCGCGCACTACGACTTTTATGTCTTGCCCTACAAAGTCTTCGGCCAGGCGGGTAGTTATCCTTCGTCGTCGGACAAAAAGCATGTGTTGTGCTGTGTTAGTCGAGAAGACAAGCTGGGATGAGACG